GAAAGGAATTCATTCCTGGGGGGAGGTCTATAAATGGCCACTCTGGGAATGTCTGTCCTATATGGTTGAGATAAGGACTGAGATACGCCCTGGTCTCCTGCAGTACCCTCAGGCTTACTAGGATTGGGAAACTCCATCCTGGTAAATTTTTGGTCAGACCAGTTCTCTGCTCTTGAACCCTGTTTTCTGTTAAGATGTTTATCAAGACAATATGTGCACCGCTGAACATAGACCCTTATCAGAAGTTCTGCCTTTTGCCCTTTGTCCTGTTTCCTCAGAAGCATGTGATCTTTGTTCTGCTTTTTGCCCTTTGAAGCATGTGATCTTTGTGACCTACTCCCTATTTGTACATCCCCTCCTCTTTTGAAACCCTTAATAAAAACCTGCTGGTTTTGAGGCTCAGGTGGGCATCACGTCCTACCGATATGTGATGTCACCCCCAGTGACCCAGCTGTAAAATTCCTCTCTTTGTACTCTTTCTCTTTATTTCTCAGCCAGCTGACACTTATGGAAAATAGAACCTACATCGAAATACTGGGGACGGGTTCCCCTGCTACACTCTAATGTTCACATGATGATGAAATTGCCTGACAACTTATTTCTCAGAACATATGCCTGTCATTAAGTGATGCATGACTGTATAGAATAATAGTAGCTACCAGTTCCTGAGCATCTTCTATATGTCAGGAAATATGCTAGAGTTTTCTTTATATAGTAACTCTTATAGCAAATCTATAAAATAGATATTGCCGTTTTAATTTATAGATGAGAATTCTGAGACTCCCAAGTTCACACAGCTTATTGTGGCAGATTCAAATTCAGGTCACTTGTTCCTGTTGACCCTGCTGTTTCCACTGTGCCTTGGAGACATACAACTTAACAACATTTGGGAAACATTGTTTCTAAAGGAAGGGCAGTACAGTGTGACTGCCAGACAGCTATACACTTTCCACTACAGTGTTCAGGATAAGGGAAGTAATCAGCCACCTTAGTTCAAACCTAGAATATGGCTTCAATTCTGGGTTACCACACTTAAAAGGGGTACTATTGTACTTGATTATCATCAATAAATAGCAATAGCTGAGTGTCTAGGGAAAAAACTTTGGAAGTCAAACCCACGTTAACCATTCTCAGGAATAAATTGGTTACCACAAGACATGGAAAACTACATACAGAAATCTGCAAAGTATTGGAACTCTAAATTCTCCTATAGGGTTGTTAATGCCTGTGTCTACCTTCCACATTTGCTTTGCCCAGTTGTTTTTTTTTGATGGGGTTGTATAAAAAGCATTTTATTATAATCGCTGTAATTTGTTTCATTACATTATTGACATTGAAATGTGCTAGGACCATGAAAGCAAATGATCACAAATAATGAAGTAGGTGAGTTTTTGCTAACAGAAAAAGGCAGTCCCTAAAATTTATTTAAAACAATCCAGTTTTGAGATTGGGGTTATAGAGCTACGGGTAGCTGCCCTTCGAAATGCCTCATGTCAGGTGAATTGAGTTTTCACTAATTGAGAATTCATGCAGACTGAAACATGGAAATCAGAATCTGGGCACCTGCAGGCAGCGCTGAGAGCAGCTTGGGTGCTTCCACTGCCAGCGCGATGTAGGGGAGAGCGCATGCAGGCAGCCGGGAATCTATTCCTGTTTTGGTTTTGTTTGTTTTTTAAATACTGCTATGGAGAATCTTAAAAGACATTTTAAATTATTTCATGTGAGCTAAAAAGTTGGTGGCTCTCTGCAGGCTGCCAAAAGCCAGTGAGTGGTGGAGAAGCTTCCAGGGCTCAGTGTGACAGTCTCTGCAGTGAATCGTTTTGCCCTCGTGACAGCGCATCTTCAGGCGTGCATTCACCACTCTGGGCGTCACCCTTTTCCTTTTCTTTAATGGTCATGTTTGTCATCAGATTTCTTCTTACTAACCTGAGAAGGATGTTTTGATGATTGGCTGATATTATCTGATGGAATATCAGCCAGCCACTGAATTAGCCAATCAGATTACTGTGTTCTGCTCGTAGGAAATTGTCAGACAGTGGGGACTAGAGGACAGTTTATAAATCAGTTTTTCTATTACATATGTCTTGATATCTTATTGATAATTTGTGTTTGTTGGGATTATTTGCCTGCAGGGAAGAAGGCATTCATATATTTGGGAGTAAATGGATGACTATTTGTAGAGCTGATAGGAAAAAACTGTTGGAGGATTCTGGATAGATTTTAATTTAATTTTTATTGCTGCTTTTTAACCTGATGTGCTGAATAACTACTTGGAGTATTCTTGACTTGCTAGTATTTAAAGTCTGCTTTCTCCATTCCTGGCATTTCAAGTTTATTTCACATATACATTCATAAAGCAAAGAAAACTTTTCTGAATTACAAGCATTTTAAAGTTTGGGTTGTCAATGAAAATAATTGGTCCACATATTATAAAATATATTTCTTACCAAAAGGTTTAAGAACAACGTGGGTTCTGCCAGCTGTTCCAGAATAGGATCTGCCTGTGGCTGTCTCAGGCCAGGAGTTATGCTGTGCGCTGCTTGCTCTTTCACAGTTCACATCTAACCCATTGAGCAGGTGTGCAGACACTGCCTGAACAATTACCCAGGAAGCAACTTCTTCTCACTGCCTCCATGGTGGTGTAGTGTAGGAGGAGGAGCAAAGGTGCTGGAATCAGCTCAGGGTTTGAATTCTGGACCTGTGACTTGCTAGTGGTGAGCCTTTGAGCAAGTTAGTTTCTGCCTCCATTTTCCATTAAAATATGGGAAAATTGTAAAGCCCTGCACTCTCTGCCTATCACAGGCCTTACAGGTACAGCTTTCTGAGCAGAGGCCAGCGCACAGTGAGTGCCTAGTGAGTATCAGCCATTAGTGTCATCATCATTCAGTATTGCCACAATCGAAATCCCAGCCACCATTAAAGTGATCTAAGATAAACATGAGATCGTGTAATTCTTCTGCTGAAAAGCCTCTAGTATTTTATAGTTAACTTGGAATAAAATCCAAATTCCTCGCCGCATTCTTCAAGGCCCCATGTGTGCCTGCCTGTCCCCAACTCAAGGCCCATGCTCAGAGGGCCGCCTCCTTGCTGGCACTCTCCTGCTCTGCCCTGTCCAGCTCCCAATCATTTTAATTCCTTTTTCCTAGTTTAATTTTCTTCAGGGCACTTTGTATAACTAGAATATAGGCTCCAGAAGGACAAGGACATCACTTTTCTCATTCCATCCCTGTATTGCGGACAACCAGAACAGCGTCTGCTGCATAGTAGTTGCTTTATGTATTTGCTGAATGGATGAATGAGTTGAAACAAACTGTAATTGCCAATTCTAACACTTTTATTCTTTCATATGTATAAAATAAGGAGCTTGCATAAACATTGTCAAAGTAGAGTTCCATTGAAACCATCAGAAATTTCTCTGGCACTTCATGAAAACGGCACAGGGGAAGAGAAGAGTGAACTGAGAATGAAAACACTGGGTTTTCACTGGGTTCCTGCCACTGTGAGATCACTTGGCTTCTCCTAGACTCTGCTTTCCCTGTAGAAAACACAGGGAGGACTCGATGTCTCTGGAACCCTCGGGCCCTTCAGAGCTGCCCAGGAGAGGGAAGAGGAAAAGGGAGGAAAAGAGGTTTCATTGGGAGGAGCCCTGGTCCTACCCAACCCCGACTTTAACTACAGCAGCTTTGTGTATATTTTCTTTTCTATATGGGGGTTTCATATGAAATTTGGCTTAAAAAAAAAAGAGTCTGCTTTTTATTTAAAAACTACTGAATCAGAAGAGCACAAAAGTTGTTTTAGCTCAATTATTCTGATCCTGATAGCTTAATTATTTAAAGGATATTGTTTCTTCATAATTCTCTGTTCCCTCCTCTCATGCCAAAAAGATCACTGAATATTTTTTGGAAATATCCTAAAGAAAATTATAATGTGCATAAGTGACAAAATTATCATCATCAAGACTGTAAGCTACGTGAAAAAAAAGACCATGTCTTATTCCTACCACTCAGCACAGTGCCTGACACTCCAACAGGCTTACTCAGTAAATATTTCTAGATGGGTGGATGACTGGATATTTGAAAAGAGCAAAAATGCATTTTTAAATGACAGTACATTATTTTGTAAGAACAGGTGAAAAACATGGAGTTTTAAGTGAAGTCTGTTGTTTCTTCAAGATGATGTTGATTAGATACACATATTATAAAAGATAATTTTTAAACACTGTTTGTTAAATGGCCAATCTATTACACCTTCCTTTAATTCCTCGTGAATTTTCTGCTAATTATTTAAAATACAAAACTGATAGTATCCAATACGACTTTTTTTTAAAATTCCTTTTCTTTTTTGCATTTAAAGTAGGATTCTTTTAGAATGTTAGTTTTCAGATAGAGAGTACCTTTTCTTTTGATCAGGAAATTGTACTGTGGGAGTATTTAATAATAATAATCTATTCGAGGACAACTTTGAGACCACAGTTAGTCATCAGTTGAGTTTTAATTTTGCAGACCTGCTTGGCATTGATAGAAGTTGAACTGAGATTTCAAAACCATCATAGCTGAGGAAGGTTAAAGTGAAAGTAATATAGTATTGAGACACTGAACTACTCACCTGCCTGTTAGGAATAGAAATGAGAGTATCAGCTTTGCAGGCTTGAAAAAGCATTAACAACTTGTCAACAAAATATAAGAATCGTGTTACACAATTGTATGAAACTTATGCATAAAATTACAAAATATTCCCACCCACAATACATTTGGCCTAATATGATTGTGAGTGTTGGTATGTTTTCGTATCAGTCTCTAAAATTAAACACCTCTCATCAGCTACCAACCTTCTGTGGTTTAAACAGTGTGTGTGTGTGGTAGAAAGTGTGTGGTATGTCAGCGTGTATCTGCGCACAGATGAAAAGCATGACATTATTACTAATGGATTGCTGCTATTGGGTACTGTTTCCTCGTGTATCCTCGTGTATTATCTTACTTAGCCTTTCTCTTTCTTTTTAGGTAAAGAGGATGAATATCCAAAGAAGCCCTTGGGACAGCTTCCGCCTGAACTTCAGTCTGGGGGTGTCCATCACCTGAGCAACGGACAGAGGAGCGTGGGCCGGCCGAGCCCGCAGGTCAGTGGCAGGAGGGAGAGCACGGCGCCCCACAGGAGGCACGAGCACTCGCTGCACCCCCAGAGCAGGACCGGGACGCCCGAGAGAGCACAGCCACCAAGACGGAAATCGGTGGAGGAGGAGAGCAAAAAGCTTAAAGATGAGGTAGATTTTCAAAGAAAACTCCCATCGGGTCCACAGGACAGTTCCAGGCAATATAATCACGCAGCTGCCAACCAAAATAGCAACGCCACTTCAAATATCAGGAAGGAATTTGTGCCCAAATGGAATAAACCATCAGACGTCTCAGCTACGGAGAGAACTGCCAAATACACCATGGAAAGCAAAGGTCGAGCAGCGCACCCCACGCTCGCAGTCACCGCCCCAGGCCCTGCCGAGGTGCGGGTGGCAAACGCGCGGCCAAAGATGAAGGCCCTGGATGCTGAGGACGGGAAGCGGGGCTCCACTGCATCGCAGTACGACAACGTGCCGGGCCCGGAGCTGGACAGCGGTGCTTCCGTGGAGGAGGCACTGGAAAGGGCTTACTCCCAGAGCCCACGGCATGCCCTTTACCCTCCCAGCCCGAGAAAGCACGCTGAGCCAAGTTCTAGTCCGTCAAAAGTATCCAGCAAGTTTACTTTTAAAGTACAGACTCCAAGTCATGCACGATATCCGTCCCAGCTAGATGGGGAAGCCCGAGGGCTAGCTCATCCCCCGTCCTACAGCAATCCCCCCATTTACCACGGAAACTCACCCAAACACTTCCCTACTGCCAACAGCAGCTTTGCTTCTTCACAGTTTAGCCCTGGGACTCAACTGAATCCTTCCAGGAGACCTCATGGTTCTACTCTTTCCATCAGTGCTTCTCCGGAGAAATCTTACAGCCGCCCAAGTCCCCTTGTACTGCCATCTAGTCGAATAGAAGTCCTCCCTGTTGACGTTGGTGCCGGGGGATATTCGGGCAATTCAGGGTCACCAAAGAATGGAAAATTGATCATTCCGCCAGTGGATTATTTGCCAGATAACAGAACATGGTCAGAAGTTGCTTATACATACAGACCTGAGACGCAGGGACAATCATGGACCCGAGATGCTAGCCGTGACAATTTAGCAAAATACTCAGCCTTTCAGCACGCACCCTTTCAGGATCATGGCCTCCCTGCAGTTTCGGTAGATAGTCCCGTGCTGTATAAAACTTCACCTGCCGCAGAAGATGCCAGTCCATCTGGGTATCCATATTCAGGGCCCCCGCCTCCAGCCTACCACTACAGGAATCGGGACGGGCTTTCCATGCAAGAGTCAGTGTTGCTGTGAGATTTGATGTGTACTTGCTAAAGACAAGAGAGGAAACCCCATGAAACCAACATTGCTATGTTCATAATTGCCAAAGCAGTATTTATACTATTGTAAACAGCTCGCACATCTCTCCTGTCTGTGAGTAGTAAGAATACAGGGAAATGTCTTCAGCCCCACGTAGATGCTGCTTAAGATGAGCATTTAAATTGCATCATCACTGACCTGTTAGAATTTAACCCGGAAACATAGCAATAGCATTTAGGGATGCACGCACAATGGTAATTTATTACTCAGTTCCGTTTATGTTTTTCTCCAAAACCTGAACATTTTTACTCTGTTGGCTCATTCTATTTTGACTAATGTTACAAAGTACTGAAAAAACTGTAGAATAGATATTTTTAACGCTATATGTAGTGTATGTGTCTTTTAATAGATACAGGCATCTATTCATACACGTTTGAACACGGAGCTAAAGAAACATTTTTTAAAAAACTACTTTTAATCCAGATCCATGGAATAATATGTAATTCTTGTTTTCCTTGTCTTTTGGTCCAGTTTTTCTTTTTCCCTCTCATATTTTTAACCTGAGTCCTAAACTGACTGAAGAGTTTGTCCTGACTTTATTAATTGCAATCTCACAGAATGCTCATCGTTCTCCTTCAGCTGTTGCCATTTTCTTTCAATCTGAAAATTAAAGACATTGGAGAGAAACGCTAACCACTTAATGGTGCTTAAAAATCGGGGCAGTTAAAATAAGTTTACGGCCAAAGGTGCAGCAGTGCTTATCATATCCATTTACTAAGAGATCAGTCTTAGTGCGTTTATGCCCTTTGTTCTGGTCTGACTCTTGGGAATCTCAGAGCAGGAGAAGTTGCAGCTGACCGATCCCTCAGTGCTCACAGTACTCATGTGGGGCAGCCAGACTAACTGGATTAGCAGTGTGGCTACTTCTCACTTCTGCCCCGACTCATGTAGCTTCTCCCCATGAAAGTCCCAGGGTGGCCATTTACACAATCCATTTCTGACCTCTTTAGGGACTATAGTCGACGGATACTGCTGCACCTCATCAGGCCATTACATTGTCCATGTTAAAATTATAAAAATGATCCTAGTTTTTCATAGGAGTCTAGGATTTTGATATTTTTAAAAACTGTAGTGTGATTTCATGCTTTTGAAAAATTTTTTTTTTCATTGAAACAAATTCAGGTTCCTGGCTTAAAAAGAAATTAGTGATGTCTTTAAAAAATATTCTGTTACACTACAATTACCAAAACACTGACAAAAATATCGGTACTCCAAGAGGGTATGACTTTGTGTTTAATTGGGGAACTTGTTTTCAACATTGCTTATATTTGAATAGTAGAAAACTGGACATTGATGTTTCTTCCTGTTGCAAGGTGGGGCTTTAAGCTTTCAAGGTACAAAAGTACGTCTTTTAAAATGAAAGTAACATTTGTTTAGCTAGTGAATGTGACAGTATTTTTTATGTATATAATGAGTCTAATGTAATTTTAATCAACTCGGTAATGATGTTATTAAATAGCAAAACAAATGCAGTGTGTTAAAGCTAAACACTACATTGAAACACAAACAAAATTCTGATGAAATAACTGGGCTCTTGATTCAGATTAGGTGGAAACTGAGAAATAAATGTATATAAATATGTAGCTGAGGATATTAATTCCCATTTTAAAACCATGATTCTGTGACTTGTAATAAACCAAGCTGTACAATTTAGTTTATAATAGCAGTATCTGAGCTGCTCAAAAATATATATATCAACAGTGGTAAATACTGTAGATTTATATATATATATGCAAAAAATATATATATACACACAAGCACTATTTTCTTATGTCATTTATGACATTTTTTATCTGTATACTTTTTTTGATGTGATTGTTTTTTAACATGCTAAAAGTAATAAGTATATTTCGTTTTGTGTCTTTTATGTGCATTTTTTTCATACGGCAAAAATGGTGCACCCCCTGATGCTTTGAAGGCTAATTCTCTTCTAATTGAGTAGCTGTTGCCTAGTATTCACCTGTGTTACCTTGTATGTGTCACAGTTCTATGTTTAATGCTTTGCTAATTTCCAGTAAGACTATATTTAAAACTACATAACCTTTCCTTATTTAGTACGACATTGCTAATAGCAATAAGGTAGCATTTCTAGACTTCCTCATCTCTGTTTTCTAAGTAGGAAAATGTAATTTGAAATTATCTTGCCACCATACAGTTTTACTTTTTCAAATTTATTTTTTAATAAGAGATAATGAAATAATGATAAAAGATAAAGAGATTGGTAAAGTATATTTATGAAAAACCCATTTAGTACAGATTTTCATAGTGCAAAGACTGATTTTACCCTGTAACTGCATGTACATTGTGTATTTTGCCATTAAGTCTTTCATTCATGGCAATTTTGCCTTAGAAAGTGCTTTGGCATAGTTTAGTCTGAGAAGTTAAGCTAGACCTAAGATCTCAAAAGTTTTAAAACTTTCACGTTTTCATATGTTTGTTTATTAATAGGATTTGTTTTTAAATGAACATCTTTTTAAAGCTGGGAGATGTGTATAAATTCAGGTATCATTATCAATAATAGACTGTGTCACTGAAAGAATGAAAAGAGGCCAGGCACAGTGGTTCACGCCTGTAATCCCAGCGCTCTGGGAGGCCGAGGCGGGCGGATCACCTGAGGTCAGGAAATCGAGACCATCCTGGCCAACATGGTGAAACCCCGTCTCTACTAAAAATACACAAATGAGTTGGGTGTAGTGGCATGTGCCTGTAATCCCAGCTACTCGGGAGGCTGAGGCGGGAGAATCGCTTGAACCAGGGAGTCAGAGGTTGCGGTGAGGCGACATCATGCCACTGCACTGCAGCCTGGCAACAGAGCAAGACTCCATCTCAAAAAAGTGAAAAGAGATTCAACCAAGAGGACATCTCTGGAGAAGCAAAAGAGATGTTTATAGGACGCGATTGTTTCAACTTTGTTTTTCCATTGTAAGGAGATTCCAGTACTAAATGTCGCCATACCCCGTGGTACTTTTCAAGTAGACTTTCATAGTTGCAGTCACTTCAAGTCTCTGCCTCGGGTGCCCTTAGCATGCAAGCACAGGAACAGACACCTGGTCAGCAAAACCCCTTTGTCTTCACTGTCATGATGCGAGAAAAGCATGCCATGTCTACCAGCAGGGATCTCTTCACAGAGGACCTACAGCTTCATCTTCTGGATTGAAGATTATTCTTGATTATGTTTTGGAATCAGTCCTTTATCTTAGTATGCACTTGATTGTGAGTTTTAAGATTATGTTTTTAGGATTTCTTTTATTTTTTGTCTTTTATTTTAAATTATTCTTTAATGGATTTTAAATGTCTGTATCTAACGTGGGTATTAATGCTTATTGGCCAAGTGGATTTTAAGAAGAGAAACTTTTTTTTGAGGTGGAATTTTGCTCTGTCGCCCAGACTGGAGTACAGTGGCTACATCTCAGCTCGCTGCAACCTCTGCCTCCCAAGTTCAAGCGATTCTCCTGTCTCCGCCTCCCAGGTAGCTGTGATTAAAGGTGCCCACCATCACAACTGGTTTTTTTTTTTTTTTTTTTTTTTTTGTATTTTTAGTGGAGACAGGGTTTCACTGTGTTGACTAGGCTGGTCTCAAACTCCTGACCTCAAGTGATCACCTGCCTTGGCCTCCCAAAGTGCTGGGATTACAGGTGTGAGCCACTGTGCCCAGCCCTAACATTACTTTTAAGATGACTCAAAGTCATGAGAATAGGAAAAAGCAATCTGATTAACATTTATGCATTTTATTTTCAGAAGGACTTTCAGTTATCCATAAATCTAAGCATAACTGCTACCATTTATGCATGAGAAAATGACAGGAACTAATATAAAGAGCAGATCTTGACCCTTGCTGGGTCTTCAGAATAGCTATAATTCTTTAGAATTATTGAGTGAACTTTAAAAAAATTTGTCTGCATAGGTTACATCCCAGACCACTTAAATCAGAATATCTTGGATGGAATCCAGACATCAGATTATTGTATTTTCCCCCATAATTTAAAGTTCAGTCATTAAGCTCTTAAATCCTCCTAAAGTTGATTGTCTTATATTCCCACTATGAGATACCTAAAAGATTCTTAACAGACCAAGAGTTTCAGAGGTTAGAAACTCGAATGTTGGGCAAGTTAGGAAAAATTCCACCAGCAAAATTAACATTACCAGCCATCTCTGCAAATGCTCATGAACTGCTGACAGTTATGGCATCAAACGGAACATGGCAGGCCCTGTCCTTCCACTCAGGTGCTGCTTACAATGGTCCTCAACAGAGGGAGAGCCTCCCTAAGATTTCCGTGTTCCTAGACAAAGTCCTAAGCTGTTTGGAAGTCTGTGAGCATTTTCAGTATATGAGGAACTGAGAAAGTGCTGCCTGTCTGGTCCTTCATTTGGCCAGCCAATATTCTGTCGAGCACCTGCATTGTGCTAGGTTCATGCTTCCAGATGTGAGATGTGTGTTCTAATCTGAGAATGTGTTTTGTAATCTGTTTCTCAATCAGTGTTGGAGATATGCACAGGCTATTATAGGCATATTATAGACATATATAAAGGCCAAATAGTGATCCCAGCCCAAGAGGTTCAGGGAAGTCTTATGAAGGATTTGCCTCAGCTGAGCATGACAGGACAGGCATGTAGAAGGACAAGAGGGAGAGAGAGCAGGGCATTCTGCAGAGGGGAGCAAGAGCAGCTGCATGGGATATGTGAGGAGATCTGTCACTGGGATGTGTATGTGGGGTAGGCATGGGGGTGGAGAGGGGTGAGGGGGTCCACAGAGACAGGATGGTGGAGGCAGTTTTGTGTGCAATTGAACTTGATCGTGTAGTTGGTTTTGGCCTGGTGTGGTCTCTCCATGCTGTGGAAGTGAAATGTGAGGGAACAACCTTGGGGGCAGTGAGGGAGATGGGACAAACCTTTCATCTAAAAGGTGGTACAGAGCTTAAGGCCAGGGGAAAAGGTAAGAAGAAAAGGTGATTGAGAACTAATTACCAAGGGAAACTAGCAAGACCTAACTGGGTGAGTGTAATCCGAATGATCCTAATGAGACAACAGCTAACACTGAATGCTTGCTGTGTGTTTGGCAGTCTGCTACACATTTTACTGGTATTAACCGATTTAATCCTCACAATAACGATGAAGTATGTACTACTATAATTGCCAGTTTACAGATGAAAACTAAGGCGCAAAGTTTAACTTGCCCCAAGCGACACAGTGGATACGTAAAAGGGCGAGGACTGTGCCTCCCTCTCTCCCCTAACAGTTTTAAGGAGATATAATTTACCTGCCACAAAATTTACCCATTTTAGGTTTATACTTAGATGATTTTTTAGTAAGTTTATAGAGTTGTGCAACTATCACAACCAATGTTAGAACAACTCAAAAGAAAGTCTTTTCCTTGTTTGCAATTAAGCCCCATTTCCATTTCCACACAGCAACTTTCTGTCTTTCAGGTTTGCCGTTTCTGAACATTTCCTGTACATGGAATCAGACATGGTCTTCTGTGTCTGGCTTCTTTCACTCAGTAATGTTTCTGTCGTGGCATCTACAGTAATTGCTTTCATCTCTATTGCCGAATGCTATTCCATTGTGTGGCTGTGTCAGATTGTTCATTCATCAGTTGGTAGACAGGTAGATTGTTTTCATGCTGCTGTGACCATTTGTGTACAAGTCTTTGTGCAGACATACGTTTAACTTTTTAGGAAATTGCCAAACTGTTATCCAAAGAAGCTGCACCATTTTACATTTGCACCAGCAATGTAGGAGGGTTCCGATATCTCCACATCCTCACCAACACTTGTGATTATGTGTCTTTTTAAATGATAGCCATCCTAGTGGATGTGAAATGGTAACTCATTGTGGCTTTGATTTACATTTCCTTGATAGCTAATGATGTTGAGCATTTTTCATGTGCTTATGGGCCATTTATATGTCGTCTTTGGTGTAATGTCTATTTAAATCTTTTGCTCACTTTTCAGTTGAGTTTTTTTTTTTCCTTATTAAATACTAAGTGTTCTTAATATATTCTGGATACAAGTCCTTTTAAGACATGATTTTCAAATATCTTCTCCCAGTCTGTGACTTATCTTTTCCTAATGGTGTCTTTTGAAATGTCCTTGTTTTTAATTTTAATGAAGTCCAGTTTATTAGTTTCCTTATACGAGTCATGCTTTTAGTACTGTATCTCTCTGCCTAACTCAAAGTCACAAAGATTTTCTCCTGTGTTTTGTCCTGGAAGTTTTATAGTTTTAGGTCTTAAATTTGGGCTTATGAGCTGTTTTAAATGAATTTTTATATATGGTGTGAGGTAAAGATCTAAATTCCTATGGATATTCAATGGTCTTAGCACCATGTGTTAAAAGGACCGCTTTTCCCCACTGTGCCCCTGTCAAAAATCAACTGAACATATATGTAAGAGTTAAATTTTGAAATTGGGACATATACATTCTCCATTCTTTTTCACATTATTTTGGCTAATCTGGGTCCTCTGCATTTCTGTATAACTTACCAGGTCTGCTTGTTAGTTTTTGCAAGAGGCCTGCTGGGATTTTGATAGGGAATGTTTTGAATCTGCAGATGAGTCAAGGAAGAACTGCCATCTTAACAGTATTGGGTCTTCCAGTCTATAAACATGGAATGCCTCTCCATTTATTTTGATCTTTAATTTCTCTCAGCAGTGTTGTATAATATCAGACTATGTCTTGTACTTCTATGGTTAAAATTATTACTGCTTTCTCTTGTGAATGGTGCTGTTTTCTTCAGAGCCTGTGCTCTGAAATATCACGCTCCACTGTTATGGGGAGAGGAAGGGTCAAGATGGATTTCTGCAGTTCCTGGGTTGGGCGGTAGGGTGAAGAGTTGGGCCACCATCTCAT